ACAAGCAATAACTCTAGGTGGCCACTTACCCCACTTGGTGGCCAATAAAAGGATCTTTTGAGAGTTAAAAAAAAAAAGATTGTATGAAATCCCAGATGACTCATTTGTTGTAGACATACTAAAAGCAGTGACAGAAAAAAAAAACCAACAAAGCATGGCTCCAATCTCCAATAAAAAAAGTGAATCATTGTGACAACACTGAAAACAAACTAACTGAGCTCCCAGAGCCTCCAACCTCTTTCACAGAGAAGCAGGGGGAGTATTTTAAGTGGCAAAACTTCTCTATTTTGTACTTCTGTTGGAAAATTAATTTGACAGCTGTAGTTTGGGAATTCACCGTCCCTTTGGACAAATGGATACAGTCATGTTTATCACATCTGGAAATTCATTCTGTAATAACAGCCCACTGGGATTAAGGCACGGTAGGAATTACATGAATTGTTTTGCTGGTAGAATTGTAATAGAGCATTACTAGAAACATACAGATCAGTTTTTATTTATTCATGTTGCTTTATCACTTTGAATCACCAGCCAGAGCTAATGGCTGCATTATACCATATACTCTACTTGAAAAAGTAATCTTTTCCCAGATTACGGAAGGAGGAGGAAAAAGCAATTATAATAAACAAGAAAGAGACAAACTGATACAAAAAATAACGATGGTACTACTGATAAGAGAAGGTCGTAACATGCAAGCTGCTTCCAGGCCCCATGATGCAGAGATTCTTACTGTGTACATTTAGGAACACATTATTCATTTAACAGTAGCATAAAAAAAACCTCAGTCTTTTTTTTCTCTCTGAAACAGCTCTACCACCATAGTAAATCCTAATATAAGCACACCATTTGAACAGCAATGATTCCGCTTCTCCCAGTACTTGAAAACATTTATATTGTGAGAGGGTGCTTTAAAGTGCAACATGCACTACGGACACCCTTAGCAGATAATTCAGCTCTCTCAGACTCCACGCAAATGCAAATCTCTGCTGTTAACACGATGAGAGAAATGAAGCCTCAACAGTGGCAAAGAAACTGTCTCTTGGAGTTGCTTGTATTTTCATTTCTTGAACTACATTTTCAAGACCTGCAGAACTGCTTCTAAGTTGCATAATTTTATAGATGCGTTCATATATATCTACATACACAAGACAAAATAAGTTTTGTGTTCTTGATTACAGACCAGCCTACAATTATCAATTAAGGAGAATGAACGCTTGTGTGATCTCTCCATCCATCCCAGGATAAGGCGACTCATTAGGACCTTCCAGTTATGGTGAAAAACTACATAAGCAGCAAGAGAAATCCGAAAACTGAAGAAAAATGAAAAACCTCAGGCTGTGTAAGGCCTGGCATTTTTTGTTGTTTCTTTTTTGTTGTTTTGCTTTTTTAAAAAAATTTTATTTGGCAAAAGGAACTCCGTGCCACTCACACTATTCCTCTTCAGTAATACCAGAAACAATACAACAGCACCTGATTTATAAAACAGGAAACCAGAGAAGGAAATAAATGAAATTTTGTTTTAAGGAGGCTAATAATACTACTTTCTGGCTAAATACAGCTTTTTAAAGGCATAGTCAGTGCAGGACGCATTTCCTTATTAAACACACAGCTCTTTAATTTCCCTTCAATTTCCTCTGGATAAAGAGTTGAAGTCATACATTGTAAAAGGCCACTTGGCTGCAGCAGCAGCAGAGAATGTATTTCAGCACTGACGTGCAGGTAACAGATTAAGTTGTTTTGCAGTCTGCGCTTTGATCAAGTTCAGGGAAGGTTAATATAAACTATTTGTAACTTGTCACGCCAAAGGCTGAGTGTCTAAAGAAAGTCACAGCATGTATTCACCCTCCTCCCAGCTACAAAGATCTGTGTGATTATGGGCACGCTGCACTGCTGCTCATTCACTTTTACATCACATAAATAATAGACACCATCAGATGTTGTACATAGCCGGTTAACAGAATCCCATCACAGAGGAAAAAATATAATGCTCCCTATTTAAAGCTGGGCTGTGAAAAATGATGATTGTTAATAGAGGAGAGCAGGCCCAAAAGGACTGTATCCCTCATGGTTACATAAATTCCCTGCTTGGTTCTAATATTGACTTCTGGTTTTCTCTTAAGTCAGTTTTGAGTTAACAAAGTCTGCAAGCTGCTTCCCATAATTGTTGTTATGGGGAGTACAACAGACATGCACTTGGTTTATTTCCTTGTTAGGGTCATATGTGCCGTACTAAAGAAATAGCTCTAATCTAAATTAAGTGAAAGCACATTTACAAGTAAGAAGAACACACTGCACTCCTACTCTGGAGCAGGCAGGTTCAGCAGGAACAATGCCTGCAGAGCTGTGGCAGGGAGATGTGCATCCCACACAGAAGCACCCTATCCGCACACACAGGTTGTGAGTTGGGAGACTGTCTGTCAAAAATTGCCATTTTTAAAACTACAGTGATTCCCTGCGCAGACGTCTTCACTAAAAATATGTCAACCGCACCCATGAAACAACAGATGTGCTCTGCAGGAGTTATCAATTCAGTTCTGCCCTACAGCAACAGCTCAGACCGCTTTTATGACTGCAGAGGAATAAAAGACCAGATTGTGATCAGACAATGGACAGGTGAGGGCTAGGCTGCTTCACACAGCCTCATTTATGCAGGGCCAAAGTCAGGACCCTGTAAACATCCTCACCAAGCTGCTGACCAGAGATCAGCATCCTCTGTCAGCTTGCCTCAGTGTGCTGACATTGGTCCTGTACAGCATGAACGCTTCAGTCCTGGGCCTTCTCAGCACTGATCTGGACTCTTCACCCCCAGCCAATGCACGTTAGCTCTCTCCCTTCTTATCAAGGGCATATGAGAACAAACCCAAACTACAATGCAGCATACTGTCACTTTTCCATTGCTTCTCACACCTAAAGGCCAGCTGCTCTCCTTGTTCTTGTTCGGCTGCTCTACAATCAGCCATTAAATTGCCAGCTAGAAGCCCTTCTCATTTCAAACAAAGTTCTGATTTCAATTCCTTTCTTTTTTCCTCCCCAAAATTCTGAATTTAAGTTAAGTTCTTCCATAGCCTCAAAATAATCCATTATCTTCTTTCTAGACCTTCCTTCTGATCAAGATTCTAAATTTTTAGCTCCTCTCTGATACGTACGTTAATGGCATCTGTCCAACAAAGTGAGATATTAAACAGTTTTTTTTCCACAAGCCCTTCCCCATCTTGAGAGCCACTGACAGCACTACTCTCCTACCTGCCACTCGTGGCTGAGACCTACACATTATCTTAACTCTGCAGTTATTCAGTTGACAAAACTGATGGATTGAAAAAGTCAGCCCTGTGCGGAGTATGGCAATAGTCGATGTTTTGCTGTTTTTTTCTACCTCTTTTCTTCCTTCTTCCCCTCCTCCTCTTCCTTTCTCGTGCAAAATATAACCTGTTTGTCTTCATTTTCAGGCCACAATCTGTCCACAACACTGAGACCAAACAGAATTGCAGCTTTTCTCTGAATACATTCCTAATTCAGAATAGCTAATTTAACATCAAAACAAAACTCAATTCTTGCAGAAAATCACTGTGCTTGGAAAAAGGTTCTTCTAGAAAAAATGAAGGTTTGAGCAACTTCCTCCATGGAAATATAAACAAAGGCTAATGCAATGATATCTAAAGCTAATTTTTTCTTTGTCTCGCTTGGAAACTGCTGGTTCAGAGGGCAGACTAATAGGAAGCAGAAGCACTGCATCAAAATTTTTGCAAAGACAGAGAGGTATTGTAGAAGCTTTCTTATGTTGTCATCAATGCTAGTAATCTGACATATTTGGTGTCCTTAGAGTAATACTGAGTGCAGTAGAGACCTACAGAATTACTCAGCATCGGCAATCCGTAGCATCTGTATACAGAAACTGATGAATACTTTCTGCAGAATTACAATTACACTGAAGTTGCCAGGTATTGAAGTACACATTTTTGAGCTGCACTTCTGCTACAATTTTTGCTTCATAGCTCAAATACCAGACATTGAATTCCCTTCTCTCCCACGGTTGTTGTTCACCAACAGAGAAAAAAATAAACAAACAAACACGTGAAGCAACCAGGCAAAAGGATTTGTCTGACTGTCTCCATAACTGCACCACTGTAAACACAAAGGAACATGCTTTAGAGGATCAAAACTACCCTTGGATATGACCTTTGACCAAGGAGGTTGTGGATGCCCCATCCCTGCAGGCATCCAAGGCCAGGCTGGATGCGGCTCTGGGCAGCCTGGTCTGCTGGTTGGCGACCCTGCACATAGCAGGGGGGCTGAAAACAGATGATCATTGTGGTCCTTTTCAACCCACGCCATTCTATGGTCCTATGAGCATATCAACCAACAGAAGACTGGTAGAGCACTACTATCTCTGCTACAAGCACATAGATCCTTACCAAGCAGAAAACCATTATCCCTCTATTACTGGTGAGACAGCAGAAACAGAGGTGATGTAACACGTGGCATAAAAAAGATTCGTAGCACAAGACCACTGAGTAAGCCTGTTTCTTTGCAGCTCTGTATTTTCAAGTAGCTGAAACTGAAATATAAGACTTAGTGTGCTCCATCAGCATTCAGTACACCTGAATGGTTCATAATATTACAATTTATGAGAGCTTTAAATGAAACGTGATGGTGTCATTTTTGCAAACAATTGCATTAGGTACTTATTTCAATTTTCAGCACTTCTAAGGGATTAAATGTTTTCATGTTTGTCAGCTATCCCCGTACTTCATAGATCTATGAACCAAGATTTAACTATGTAATTGGAAATAGCAAAGCAATGATAGCAGTTATAAAGTGTGTGTTTAACAGAACAAGTTGCTGTCAGATAAAGGCAGTTAGTTTCCTGCAAGTGAAAAAGCAGGAAAGCAGAAATACTGCTACTGTGCTCCTGCATGTCATTGGGACACCTGTAAGGGTTGTGAAGATGTTCTGTAATAAAAAGGAAAGGATGCTATCAACAGACCAGCTGCTGCTCTTACCTGCACGGTGACTGTGACTGTAGCAAGACCTGGAGGCATAGTGCCCTTGCTGTCGAAGGCTTCCACAAGGAAGGTGAAAGTTGCATCTGTGTCAGAGAATGACTCATAATCCAAGGACTTCCGAAGTGATAACTCGCCCGTATACTTGTTCAGTGCAAAATACTCTAGTGCTTCCTGTGTCCGGATCCGATAGGTGACATTAGAGCCAAGATCAACATCTTTGGCCTAGATGCGCCATACAGAAAAAGAAGCAAAAAAAAAATCCATTTTGCAGGAACTGTAAATACATTTTGTTACCTTATTCTAATACTTAATAGTACTGCACAATAATCCACTGGAGTTTATTAAGTTAAAACACGCTTGCCATGTGAAATGAGCACAATATTCTGGGCAAGACTCAACACAGGCTTCTGTTCTTGGTCTCTTCTCTGGGCAGCCACTATTGGCCACTGCCAGGGAGAGAAGGCTGGGCTAAAAGATTTTTGACCTTACTTTGTAGAGCAACATTGATGGTTTTATTTCATACCAGTATTTAGACAAAAAGTATTAATTTTCATTGGGAGGAATATTATGCAATTTTTTAAGCTGTTCATTTGACTTAAAATTTATCTGCAGACAGCTTCTCATTAAGGTATGCTGACCAAAACATTAGGAGGCTCTTACCAGCTTATGGGAAATGAATCTCAGCTACATTTAGTGAAGTGGCTCAAGGATGAGTTAGAACAATTGACAATTAGCTCTCACTTGGTTATATTTTTCTGTTTTTATTTTGTATTCTTGTTTTCTTTCTATAGTCAATGAGGAGAAGACAACACTTCAGGTGCCTCCTGCTATCTCAGATGACAATCTTGGTGTAGGGTTGATCACCCTGGAAACAACTACTCAACTCCATTAACTATGAGGGCTCCTCTGAAAGTAATGCCTCCTATTTTGCTGTGATGGCACAAGAAACCAGAGGAGGATGTTGGTAGTATGGCAAGCTCTTGTTCATTGGTGGTGAAAATGCATAGCTGACAGTGGTGACTATGTTGAACAGTTGGATAGTGGTTTGTAGCTAAGATCTTGCTCTATCAACTAGTGCCATTGTGTGCTTTGCATCTGTTGTAGTTTCCATGGAAACAAAGAGGAGGCATTACTTTCAAAGTGACCTACATACAATGAGAGAATAGATGTGTAGGTTTACCTTAAATGTTTGAATCTATCGAGACAAAGCTCTATCTTTTGCAACCTACACGAGCACCTAGGAGCACCGTGATGAGCTTTCAAGCAGAAACCAAAAGCATTTAAAGAATTTTTTAAAACAATATTCCAAAATACGACAGTGGCAGCGTTCTTCAATTTTATAATTGCTTTTATTTCCAAGTGAACCTCAACAAGTTGCTATCTAAAGGTCATGAATTTTTCAGTCTAAATATCACACCTTTCCTGATTTTGGTATGCATTTTTTTTTGTCTCACTGACAAGTTAACTAGAGACACGCATAGTACTGCAGAACACTTACAAAACATTTTCTTCCATTCCGTAACACTTTCTTACCTCTATCTGCAGGAAGACAGTGCCAGGCGGTAGATTTTCAGGCACTGAGACAGCGTAGGAAGCATTTGTAAAAACAGGGCTGTTGTCATCAATATCCAGCACCTTGATTGCTAAAGTTAGTGTTGAACGGCGAGGGTCCACAGCTCCATCTGTTGCTTCAACAATAAGTTCATAATAGTCTCGTACTTCTCTGTTCAGCTTAACTGCTGTATATATGCTGCCATTTGAAGTGATTCGAAAAAGATTCTTGAAGTTTGCCAGGCTGTAATGAACTTGACCATTAACACCTGCATCCGGGTCTGTAGCCTAAAGAAACAGAAAAAAAAGTACCAAGTTTTAATGCATACTGCACATCTTTTTTATTATATGCTGCGATTTAGGTGCCAGTCATTACAGAATCCATGCTTTGGACAAATACAGTCATCTCGAATGGACAGATTCATTAAAAATTTTCATTTTAATTAAGGTTTGTTATATCTAGTGATGTTTTAATCATTGCTCTCCGAAGAACTACTTTAATTTCAACAGTTTATGTATCATGTTCTTCAAAATCGACATAATCAAATTTCACGCTCAGTCTTGCACATGCAGAAGATGCTGGTGATTGCAGTAGATAAACACTTAGATTTTGTCCAGTTGGTATTTGTTCTCCTGAATGGAAGCAAGCCTCAGATTTCAGCATCAGCTAAGCAATTCTGGTTATTATGTAACTGCCCTAATAAGGACGGGCACAATTCAGACTCATTATTCCTAGAGGCACTGGAGCACAGTTTCAGTGCTGACCAGTTGTTTTCCCTCCTCTTAATTAAATTAAGGCATGATGAATAGGGTCATGTAAATTTTAACAAGGCCATTCTGTGAGAAAGGTATTTTCATTTGTATGACTTTGGAAGTGTGGCTACACACATTAGAGAAGACACGAGAATTTTCTGTTTTGCTGTTAAGAACAACGCTTGGGAAATACCCATGAACGCGTAACTCTGGTGAAGGTGTTAATTTTAAGACATTATAATGAAGCCATTTATCTTTCTAAGAATCAACTAAAAGTTAATTAAAAGTGTTAATGAGAAAAATTCTTTCATGCTTTTTTTTTTTTCTGCACTACATCAATGCACTAAACCCTAACGGCCACAGCTTCATAATGACCAGCCTACGGAGAAGCCCTTTCAGTCAACATCTTTCAACGTACCCAGTTGACAACCCAGCTGACCTACCCAGTTTACAACCTCCGTGGCAGTAACATGGGGCAGAAGAATCTCACAGTTGGCATATTGGAAAACTATCCAAAACACGTGAGGGAAAAATAAAAAATTCAGAAGTACTGTAACAGACGGCCCAACTTCAAGAAAACTGAAGCACAGCAAATGAAGAATTTGTGCTCCTGCATAAGAACGTCCTGGGGCTCCTGGATGCAGCTGGGGCATCTCCAACCTCTCCTCACGGTGCCCCCAGCCTCACTGCTTGCACACAGGAACTTAGTGCACATATACATTTCATAGTCAGGTTCATGTCTTTGCAGAATTAAAACCTCTTTTGCTAAGAAAAAGCTGTAAAAAATGCTATTGTTTGCCCAGATTAGATTGCTCGTAGAGTGTAAGATCTTCATTAATTGGCATTTTATCGCTACAAACTTAAGAAGTGATAATGTACCCATTACAGACATAAAAGCTTAGACTATTTTCTGAGAGAATGACATCTCAAGGATATATTAAACGAACTTCCACGTGAAAATCATTTTCTGGAGCCTCTCAGAGCCTGTGGGAGCAGCTCCCTGGAGGAATCCTTGAAGGAGTCAATGGCAGCAGTGCTGCCTATTCCTGCCTGCAGATACTGTTTGATGTCTAAATGGATGAGTTCAGTCATCCCATCCTCATCCCTGTGCTCAGTGTTACCACTGAAAAGCTCCGTACCAGCTGAGGAGGTATCACAAGCCCTGACCACAAGGGAAGTGAGGAGGAGGTCCACAGACCAAGCAGCCAGGCTCTTGTAATTCGTGCTTTAAACACTGGCCCTGCTTGAACTCATCTGTACCCATAAAAGAGAAACTTAGCAGCACCGTAATGGATTTAATACAATGTGTTCATTATCTCAGTACACAGTCAACAGAGAGGGAGAGAAATAAAACACCAATTCATTTGTGTATTACTGAAGTCCCAAGGAAAGTCTCAAAGACAAAACCGGGCAAACCAAGCAAGACTAGGAAAGCAGTAAGACCACTCACTGAGTCCAATATAACACACAAAGGTATTACAGTAGCTTTCAACCACTCTCATCCTCACTGATTTGTACATAAGAAGTACAGTAAGAGTCTTGAAGCTTGGGCAAAATTAGTCACAACCGCCTTTCTAGGAAGAGTAGGATTTTCCACACAGTACTTGTTTAAGGAATCGAGCTCCACAAGCTGAGCTACTGCAGATTCAGATCAAGAATCTCTCCCCAGTGTTCTGACTCCGCCATCTGCTCCTGACTTTTCTAGCCACTGCTTTCTGCAATTGCACACAAAATGGATTTGCTAGAAAGCATGAAAGGATCCCAGACATGTGATCCCCAGTGTCTGCAGCAACCATAGAATCATAGAATGGCCTGGGTTGAGAAGGACCACAATGCTCATCTGGTTCCAACCCCCTGCTATGTGCAGGGTCGCCAACCAGCAGACCAGGCTGCCCAGAGCCACATCCAGCCTGGCCTTGAGTGCCTGCAGGGATGGGGCAATCAATTTCTTTTTCTTCATGTAGCTACAACAATGCAATACAAACCACAGATATCTTTTTTTCTCTGGGCTACGCCAACATCTTTAAACATTTCTTTCATTAGGTAAGGCCCATCAGAAGTAATAAAGATCACTAAACATAAAATTGGATAGGTTTCTTTCTACTCCTCACAGCACAATCTTTTTCTCACCCTAGCTTCCAAAACCCCTACGTATCTGATGTTTCTGTCTAAAACTCAATTTTTTTTCTAAAATGAGAAGTGAAATATATGTAGAACAGAATTTCCCCTTAAAACTTCCAAAGACAATAGCTCTCTTCCCCCACCACAGCAGAACGTCAAGGCCAGACAACTAAATAAGGAATCTATTCATTCCATCCTTGTTTTCCTGCAAAGAAAAAAAGATTTGCTTTCATCTACTCCTAATCCAAGTCCTCCATCCCCTCGGCTGTCAAAGGGAAAGGAAGTATGAGTTCACCTGTCCTTGGAAGAACAAGCAAGGGAGCGAAGGAGCCTGAAGCACTCTCAGCTGTCAACAGCACTCAAGTTCCCACCCAAAATTCTATCTACACATTTTGCTCTTTGATCACTTTCAAGCACACACAACACAGACCTGGTAAATCTAGACATGAAACAGAGCTCATTTTGCTAGTTTTCCTCTGCTCTTCTTCAAAGTGGTTCAAGGCAGACGTACCACACTACTGTCAAACAGCTGGAGGTTCAGAATTCCCTTACGTTGCTGTGGCCCAACCAGAAGGGATGCTATTGGGATGGAGCAGCTTCTTTAGAAAGGTCTAAGGTAATTTACTTTTGTGAATGCACCTGTGAGTTACTTAGAAAAAGAGAACAGCGATATCTGTCTCCTCTTGTCAATGCTTGTGACAAGAGATGCAAGAAGACAAGACACATTCTCTTTCCTATCTCATTATGCATGTTGAGAGACAGGAAAAGCATGCTCCTCTAAAGACTCTCTGATGACTTTTGCTGTTGCTCTAGATACTCTCCAGATCTACATGACTTCTCTCCGTCTTTCACAGGAACAGCTTGCAAAGTATTGCAGAGTAGAACAAACCTGCATAAGCCACATAACAGCCTATATCTATTGAGGCAAGTCTGAATTTGCATTACTAACTGCACTTCAATATTACTGAGGCAATCTCACAAACCTGAACCAGCAATAACAAATTACCTTCCACCAACACAGCTTGAAAATAAAACACAAAATACAAACTATGTTCCAAAAACTTGGAAATACAATTCTGGGAGACCTGAATATCGCTTAAAGGATCATTAACTCAGAAATTCAGAAATATAATGACAAATGCTTAAACGTCAACAATATTAATTATATCATTATTATTCTTTTCAAAAGAAACCCTCCTACTAATATCCACAATTCTTGATGGGTAACAATGGACTTTAAGTAGGTTAACTGAGGATTTACACTCAAATTGCTGGTGCTGGAAAACAGCAAAATAAGGCACAGTTGTCATTCATACTTGCCTGTATAGTTCAGCCAAACACGGCAGGTATCCCCTCATTAATGCTGACTCACTTCTTTGGAACCACTCTTCTGATGACACTCCCCATTTAATATTTCCTGCAGTTCTTCAGAGACAGATGTTCCCCATCATCCATCCCCACCCCAGCAGGACCTCTGGCTCTCTGAAAGCCTCTCCAGCATTCCAGCTAATACCACAGCTCCAGGAGGAATGGAAATTGTGCGGGAGGATGCAAAGGATGCTGTCAGTGGGAGTTGGCCAATTGTTTGCAGGGAAGATAACAGGATTTTTTATTATTATTACGGGTTTAAAAGATGCCCAAGCCCCTCCACTGTGTCAAATAGCAAATCAAACGTGAGTGGGAGTGCTAAATTGGATTTTGCACTTTCTTTTTAAGGAAGATTGGCATTTGTGCACATAGGACAAAACTAACATCTCTCAGATGCAGCAATAGGCCACAGCTATTGGAAAAATTTCAGGCTTGGTATTTACTTAAGAATATCTTAAGTAGGGAAAATAAAGGAATTCTAGAAAGGTCAGCATTTTTCTTCTTGTATTTCAGAAAGTCTTTACCTCTTTCATTTCTTTTTGCCTCCTTTTACAGTCTTCTGTTTTCCTATTTCATTAAGTGCTCAAAGCAAATGAAAAGACTGGAATGTATGAAGAGTTTTAAAAGATTTCTGTCAGCTAAACTCCCGATAACGTCAAAAGAAGGAAACACAGAACCACTTCTGTCCTCCCAGTGTTTTCTCACAGACTATTCTCTTTCTGCAAGCAATTAGATTAATTAATTCTGCTCCTAAACATACAAGGTGTCACGTCACTGCGTGCCCATTCCAGATTGCTGTAATATTTCCTCACGGTCTTAAACCTACAAGAGCTCATTTCTGTGGACTTTTCTAGAAAACTGATATTTAAATGATTTTACGAAGAAAGATGATATAAAGAATATGCAATAATATTGGATGTTGTAATACCAGGGGGCAAATTCAGTGGTTTGTCAGTGGCTGCAGTAGTCCAGTTGGGTCTAGCTAGTCTAAAATAAAAAGGAAAGAAGCAAAATGAAACTCATTGGAATTATCTTCAAATTTTCAC